AGCCGCAGTGCAGGCCGCCATTCGGCTATCTGCGGTCGGCAACTAGTTAATGTAGATATAAACCCAACTGGTAAAATCTCTAACTTGTTAATTTTATTCCAAGTATATTTTCCAAATGTTTCAACTGTGCATCTCACATTAAAGTAATTCCTGGTGATCCTGCCATAAATGTCCTTGTCTAGCTATTTCCTGTAATAGTGTGACACAGCTCTGTTACTGTCTCCCAATTGCTCTCTTGTGTTTGTCACCCTGTTACATGGCCCCTGGTGGAGAATACAAACACCTGTCTTGACATACATTGTGAGGGTGAAAAGGAAATATAATATATAGCTACTGGTCAGAATCAGACACCAGTAGTCATAGCAGTTGAGAGATTCCCAGTGACCAGCAGGATAAATACATGAGCAGATCATCCTGGCAGATGACACGGGCTTACCTGAGGTGTGAGGTCTAAGCACTAGCCACAATTCACCAGAGCTCCTGATGGTGGGGATGGGTTTTGCTACATGTTAGTACCAGGTTTTAGTCTTCAAGATCGCCCCACCAGGAGGTGAGCAAGACAGGATCCAAATGCAGATGTAGCAGTTAGGGATCACAGAAGCGTAGTGAGAAAACAAGCCAAAGGTCAGTAACAAGTGGCTGAAGGTTAAGATTAGACAGCAGTGTAGTCGAGGATCAAGTCAAGGTCAGTAAAAATGATTGGAAGTTGGGATTAAGCAAAAGTGTCAAGGAACCAGCCAAAGATCATTAACAAGTGGTAGCAAAGATGTGAATGGCAGAATGAGTAAAAGGAGCAAGATATTGGCTGGAGTATTAGCTCAATAATCTGGCAAACAGGAAGTGCAAAGGCATGGCTTAAATAGGAAGTTCACAGGAGGAGCAAGGAGTTCAAGGTTCACAAGAAACAATAAGCGCATTATCCAAGGTTCATTTAAAAATGATTTCAAAAGCAATAACATACAAACATGGCAGTCTATAAAGCCATTAAGATGACCCAACGTGGTAGCAGAGTTCCCAACTGGTTTTGAAGTTAGCCTGCTGACGTGTTTCGGGGAGGTGTCCCCTTCCTCAGAGCTCTGAGCTCTGCTACCACGTTGGGTCATCTCAGTGGCTTTATAGGCCTTTATGCTTCCATGTTTGTGAGTATGTTATCGCTCTTTTTTATGTTTTTAAATAAACCTTGGATAATGCGCTTGGTGTTTGAGCTCACTGTGTGCTTTCTTTTTCCAGTTTGCGGTTTGATCCCCCAGTCACAGGAGGGCTGCACCACCAAGACCTGTTCCAAGGCTAGTTGCACTTCTGAATCTCTCACCCATTGTCTGCTTTCCGGTGTCGATCCCTTTGGAGCGCTGGAGAGATGGTTCTTTTGTGTCACAAGAAACAATGTTCAAGGGCAAGATTATCTTAAGATTCAAGCAAGATGTGTCCAGCATGCCAGGTGGCTGAACAAGGGGAGCTACTGCCAGATGCAGCGGATCTTGAGGGGTCAGATCCTGGCCCTGACATCTAATGAGTAAATAACAATAGAACATGCTTATATGCTAATGTTAGGTTCTTTGCAAAATAAAAGGTTTGTTTGCTAGAATGTCTTTGCAGTGAGATGTTATCAGAACATTTTGTTGTTCCCCATTCTTGGAACGTCCTGTTTTTCTAAAATTGTAGATATAGTTTATACTCCATATATTCTATAGCGAGGCATGTCAGCGTGTGGGTTAGACATTTGCAGTTTATTTCATTACGAATTGAAATTTGTTCAAGATTTTTGTAATTCGGCGATTTGAATGTATCGGCATTTCCAAATCACAATAGTAACACATTTCAATGAATCTGAAATAAATAATATTTTGAATTTGAATTAAATTGAACGGATATAAGAAACAAATCCGAATATACAAAACAAATTCTGAAAACAAATCATTTGAACATAACGAATATGACAAAACAAAATGATTAACTTTCTGTAATGAACGAATCTGAAGCAAAAAAACTATTTTTTAGCTCTGTGGGGGTCGCAGTCCCACTGATAAGGTGTTCCAAAATAACAGAAATGAACATCTCTTCAAATTGTTGATATGGTGGAAATTTCTCAGTGAATGAGTTTGTGCTTTGGGGGTCCCACATGATAACAGTCCAGGATTAAAGCTTAAAAGCCTCCCCTTAAATCCTAGGTATACTTACTTTAGTTTAGAAAGCAGAGAGATTCATGCACATGGCGGTTCTGGATATCAGAACCGCCATGTGCATGAATCTCTCTGCTTTCTAAACTTTACTTTTACTTTTTAACTTTTCTCTTCTAAATGTACTTTCAAAACTTTTCACCATGAGCAGAGGTTGATGATTTACTTATTAGTTGGTGGAGAATGCAGGTCTGTCCACAACCTCAGCTGACATGTCAAATTTGTCACTGCCATGGCAAAGTAAGAAACAGACAACTGGGAGAAAATCATAAAGTCCATACATTTCTCTGCTCATTTCTGAGCAAAATGGCAATAATGACCACAAGTGTAGCATGTATGTGTCAGGGCTCCGGGTATGACCAGAGGTATGTGAACTGACGCAGGGAAACGCAGGCTTCAGATATGTTATAAACAATATAATTTATTAATACCAACAATACAAACGCAGTGCAATACTAAAACATAAACACAGTGCAAACGAACCAAACCACCCACAGATAACAATACATACAATGCAAGCATAGTCAGGCAGGCCGGGTCAATAACAATCGGGCAGGTAGGAACAGGAGGAGCAGGCAGAGAGTAGTCAGGTCACGAGCCGGGTACAGCAACTAACGGGCAGGTAGGTACAGGGGGTCAGGCAGAGAATGGTCGGGGTCACACAAGCCAGGGATCAAACAGGAGGAGTCAGCAGAGGTCAGGATCAGGTAGGGTCAGCAACGAGTCAGTCAGGCAGGAACAGGAAGATACAGGGGCCCATAGAAAAAACACACACCAAGGCACAGACTGCAGGTCTGGCCATTCCTTAAATACACCTCCGTAATCAGCTTCAGGTGTTTGGCTGACTACAGGGTTGAGTCTCTGATTGCTGAGAGCACCCGGTGGCCAGCCCTGGTACTGCAGCCCACAAGGCAGGTGAGTCCTACCATTACTGGCAAGTCCATTCCTGACAGTACCCCCCCCCTCAAGGAGCGGCCTCAGGACTCTCCAAACAGTCCTAGCTGGGCAAAATGTTCCACCGCCCTGGTCTGGTAACTGGCGGGATATCAAAGACTGGCACATCGGGCTGGACTCCGGGCAGCGGCACATCGGGCTGGACTCCGGGCAGCGGCACAGGGCCCCCAGGAGGAGCGGCAGGCACAGGGCCTCCAGGCAGGGCAACAGGCACAGGGCCCCTAGGCGGGGCGGCAGGCACAGGGCCCCCAGGCGGAGCGGCGGGCACAGGGCCCCCAGGAGGAGCAGCGGGCACAGGGCCCCCAGGCGGAGCAGCAGGCGCCGGGCCCCCAGGCGGAGCGGCGGGCGCCGGATCATCAGGCACGACAGCGGGCATCAGGTCACCAGGCATCAGGTCATTTGGCTCGCCAGTGGGCACCGTGTCATCTGGCAAGGCAGTGGGCACCGAGTCACCAGGCACGACAGTGGGTTCCGAGTCAACTGGCATGACCGCGGGCATTGGGTCAGAGATTGGATCGTCTGGCTCGACAGTGGCATCGGGTCACCAGGCATCAGGTCATTTGGCTCGGACAGCGAGCACCGCGTCATCTGGCAAGGCAGTGGGCACCGAGTCACCAGGCACGACAGTGGGCTCTGAGTCAATGTGCACGACAGCGGGCACCGGGTCATCAGGTACCGGATCGTCTGGCTCGACAGCAGGCACCGGGTCATCTGGCGCTGGATCGTCTGGCTCGACAGCGGGCATCGGGTCACCAGGCATGACAGCGAGCACTGGGTCATCAGGCATTGGATCGTCTGGCTCGACAGCGGGCATCGGGTCATCAGGTACCGGATCGTCTGGATCGACAGCGGGCACCGGGTCATCTGGTGTTGGATCGTCTGGCTTGACAGCGGGCATCGGGTCACCAGGCATGACAGCAGGCACTGGGTCATCAGGTACCGGGTTGTCTGGATCGACAGCGGGCACCGGGTCATCTGGTGCTGGATCGTCTGGCTCGACAGCGGGCATCGGGTCACCAGGGCATGACAGCGGGCACTGGGTCATCAGGCATTGGATCGACTGGCTCTACAGCGGACATCGGGTCACCAGGCATGACAGCGGGCACTGGGTCATCAGGCATTGGATCGTCTGGCTCGACAGCGGGGCATCGGGTCACCAGGTATGACAGCGGGCACTGGGTCATCAGGCGTGATAGGATCATCAGGCTGGATCAGTTCATCAGGCTGGGTACAGACATCAGGCTGGGTAGAGACATCAGGCTGAAGTGCGGGTGCCGAGGCACCAGGCTGAACCACGGAAGGCAGGTTCTCAGACGGCAGGCTCACCGGTTTGGATACTGGCAGGATGGTACTGGTTGGAAAGAATTTTCGCTTTTTTCTGGTTTTAACTACTGGAGCACTGCAAGTAAATGCAGGTCTGCAAACGAATGGAGCAGCTGAGGACAGAGAAGAGCTGGAAGATGGAACAGAGGAGGGAGCAGTTTTGCTACAGAGGACTTCTTTACAAGGTTAAAGAAAGGATAGGTGCAGCGAGTGGGAGCAGAGGACTGGTATGTGGTAGTTAGAGTATACTGGGCAGTCACTGGGGGGTGCTGTCAGGGATGCAGGAAGAGTGCCTTGAGTGGAGGAATGATGTTGTAAGCTGACTGAGGCTGGGTGCAACAAATCTGTCCATGTCTGCAGTATGGGTTGAACAAAGCTCAGCTTACACAAAGCCTGTCTGGTCAAAGACTGCACTGCGTTTATACAATCTCTTAGTACCTGTTGTGAACATGCAGCATAATGCTCCAGAAAGTAATCCACATCATCCTCTAATAACCACACCAGGGACTCTACCTGGTCTGCACTAAATGGCGGCAAAAATTCATCCCTGCATTGGGGGGGTACCAGATGAAACCAACTCAGCACAAACCTGAATCAATGGCTGCACCTCAGAGAATTCTGTGCCCTGATCTACTAGAACATGAGCGAGCCGTATACATTCTAGCAGTTGATCCCGGGGATACTCCCTCAGAGTCTGATAAGCATATTCTCTGTCATCAAACACTAGCAGAGATAAATACACAACCTCATCAAGATCCATCCTTCCCAGCAACAAGCCAAGATAGCTTCCCTGTGCAGCCACTTCTGGTCAGGATTGGCCTTGGTGTAATGTCAGGGCTCCGGGTATGACCAGAAGTATGTGAACTGACGCAGGGAAACACAGGCTTCAGATATGTGATAAACAATATAATTTATTAATACCAACAATACAAACGCAGTGCAATACTAAAACATAAAACACAGTGCAAATGAACCAAACCAAACCACCCACAGATAACAATACATACAATGCAAAGCGTAGTCAGGCAGGCCGGGGTCAATAACAATCGGGCAGGTAGGAACAGGAGGAGCAGGCAGAGAGTAGTCAGGTCACGAGCCGGGTACAGCAACTAATGGGCAGGTAGGTACAGGGGGTCAGGCAGAGAATGGTCGGGGTCACAAGCCAGGGATCAAACAGGAGAAGTCAGCAGAGGTCAGGATCAGGCAGGGTCAGCAACGAGTCAGTCAGGCAGGAACAGGAACGCAGGTAACAAGATACAGGGGCCCATAGAAAAACACACACCAAGGCACAGACTGCAGGTCTGGCCATCCCTTAAATACACCTCCGTAATCAGCTTCAGGTGTTTGGCTGACTACAGGGTTGAGTCTCTGATTACTGAGAGCACCCGCTGGCCAGCCCTGGTACTGCAGCCCACAAGGCAGGTGAGTCCCACCATTACTGGCAAGTCCATTCCTGACAGTATGTCTCCTGGCCTGTCCACCCCAACTGGGACGATTACAAGGGCAAATACAATTTAAATGTTGGTAAAGCCATACGGGTTGGAAGAGAGGTCTCTTTCATAATGGTCCTCAAATCCTGGATGTCTGTGGTACCTAATGTTTTAGGGTTACTTTGAATCCCTCCTCTTCTGTAGTAAAGAACCTTACTGAAATCATAATAATGAGGTTGGCAGAGCCAATTTGTTGGAATGAGCACTGACTTTACACTCTGCAGAATCCCTGCCTCTGAAGAATGGGTACAGTCTACATACATCTCCTTCAATTGAAATATAATATAGCCACTACGGTCCATTAAACCCATTACATGAGAGAGTGTCAACCTGAATGCATTAACCTATTTGATGGCACTCTCAGAAGAAGTCATCACATCCTCCATGGTCCCAGGGGCATATTTACCATGAGGCAAACATCATGAGAGGACTTCCCCGAGGGGGGTCTTTCTGGGCTGTGCTAGGCAGGGTCACTACTTTACACATGGGGGGGGGGGGGGGGGGGGGGGGGGGGGGGGGGGGGTACTTTTACTTAATGGACTAAATGCAATTTCTCCTGCGCTCGGGACCCAGGCCGGTGGTGAGTAGATCAAATCCCAACAAAACAACCACTGGGGCATACAAGGTCGTGCAGCTCCAAACCAAGGCTGGGGAAGCCCGAATAGAACTGTGAAGTAAAACAAGAAGAAGCGCACCAACCTTGCGCATTACCTCAGTAACCAAATTTATTTAGTAAAAGAATGGTACTCACAAACAGCAAATAAAAACAGGCATGTAAGTCCTCCCAGGGACTTCAAAGGCAAGAGGCCAGCGCGAATCCCATCATGGGGGTGTCTTGGAAATTCGCTTTAACAAATTTCTCCTTACCGTGAGTACTCGCAGTTGGATGCGCAGAAATCCCCCATAAAGCGGTGCGAATCTTGCTTACCACGACTGCAGCTAAACTACACGATTCCTGCCCATCCAACTGGGTTAGCTCTGTTGAAATGTGGGGATGGAGCTCCGTTACCCTAGAATGATCAGGCGACACTCTCAGGATGATGTTTGAATTCACATAAGGGCCGGCTTCAGACTCAGCCCTCGGTTTTATTACAAGCACACACATGCCCCCCACATGAATAAAGTCAAATCCCCTCCCACCGAACAATGCAATGGGGAGTGCCTATACACAGGATGTACATTCCAATTGGAGCATAGTCTTTCCTATTATCTATCACTGGTCCTCCCCCATGAGCCCTCTGAGGTCAGCAGACTTCCTCCCCTTCCCCCCATGAGCCCTCTGAGGTCAGCATGACTTCCTCCCCTTCCCCCATGAGCCCTCTATGGAGAGCATAATTCCTGTCCTACTAGCTCCTATTGGTATGTAAATTCTTTGTACAAGCATTCCCTAGGAACACCAGTCTGTACCTGGATGGGCCCGATACGATCTTTATTAAAACACATCCATCCAGATACAGTTTTAAGTTGGTAATGGGTTGTAAGATATGCATAAGCCTACACGCGGGGTTCACACTGCTTGGCGCCTTGCGCACGAAGTCCATGTGGTACTATGCTGCTGATGGATGTGGATTACGAATGCCGTGGTGGTATACACGCCGGTCTATAAGCGCAGATCTGCCATCTCATCCATTACCAAGCTGAGTACTGTAATACATACATTGTACATGGCATGGCCCAGTTGCAGCCTTCAGAGCTTTAATTAAGCCACACACGAGAGACATATGAATAACAAGAATATATGACACATTTAAAGTTCAACCAACAATACAAAATTTCCATGACATTCCCTCCTGTTTTATCATATTCTCCTCGTGTCCCTTCTTGATCTTCTTCAGCTTGATGGGTGTAGTCTCAAAACCTCAAAGAGTTGGTCTTAGACCAGAGTTCCTGTAGTTGTCCCTGAGAATAAAGCTCCACGGGGTACCTGAAACAACAAGACCCGACGCAAGACTCGACGCAAACAGGCTTGATTGAAGCGATGATCCTCAAGAGCGTTGGAACCTTCACTACAGGAAGGCTCTTGCAAAAACCACAAACAGACTTGTGGTATGAATAAAGCTTGTGATCCCACGGTGGTCTGGGGAGATCCAGCAGCAGATTCTCAAATTGCCCCTGCAGACGGGGCCACCCAAGGTTGGTCTCGACCCAGACAGTTTTCCAAATCGCAGACACAAACCATGATGAGGCTTGAAGCTTGCTTGGAGGTCTTGGAGAATGTGGTCTTCAGGGAGATAAATTAGAGGGAAAGCCAGGACGTAATCTGCAGAGAAGGTGGTTGGTTGGTGAGGTCTTCCTCCGATCAGTGGTTGGAGTGGGGATCCCAGGAGCGGGCATGGAGATGTGGTCGTCTGCCCGAGCTTGGTTTACACGGTCGATGAGGCAACAGGAACATCTCACCGCGGCATATAAAAGGGAGATGAAAAAGAGAAGCATCAGGACATACACTCCCACTTCCTTCAACCAAGATCCGATGGGAGAACAGGAAATCTCCCAATCCTCCCCAAACCCTTGAACGGGATTCCAACCCTCACTAGC